TACGGGACTGAGGCCGTCATTCCGGTAGAAATCATGGAACCATCCAGACGGACAGAGAGCCCCCTCGACGAAGAAATGAACGACAAGGCATTGAGGGACGAGCTCGACCTAGTCGAGGAAATCCGATCTGGCGCGGCCCTGCGTGAAGCCACCCTAAAACAACGAGTGGCTCTGCGCCACAACGAAAAGGTCATCAAACGCGAGTTCGAAATCGGCAGCCTGGTACTACGAAGGAACCAGAAAGATTCCCGCGAAGGGAAGCTGGCCGCGAACTGGGAAGGACCTTATCGAGTCCACGGCACCACCGGTACCGGGGCATACTACCTCGAGCAACTAGACGGAGAGCCATTACCACGACCCTGGAACGCTGCTAAGCTAAAGCAGTACTATAGTTAAAAACTACCAACGACACCTAGGACCCTCGACCATCGGCTCCCGCGCTCGGTCAACGAGGAAAAAACGTCCGACTCCGTAGAGAGGCTGAGGTACAAGCCTGACCTACGGCTAAAACGCACAACATCACTCAGCAAACGAGACCAATCGATAGTGCCCGACGTGGACAACTACACCGAGCTCCACCGTCGTAGTACCTGTAAGGCAGAACACCCAGCTCGCGATGGGCAAATCACACCAAGGGCAAATAGTCCCTACCGGGCCTCGCGCCCGACTGAGCGACTCTGCTCCATCTGCCCGACAAATCTTCAAGAATGACGGGCCATCTAAAAGGGTCAAAAAGGAGTCTCTCCCCTCGAGTGCACCACTTAGGTGACTCTGGCCAGCGAGAAAAGGTCGGGCACATATACGAACGAAAGACTTAGGCAAGTTTGCCAACAAAGTCACAGCCATACACGGGCACGACCCGGGCACATAACTCGGGCCGATTATATCGCAAAATACATATAAAACATACACGGGCAAACAGTCATAGAAATAAATTCATTCAATACGCCCGTAGGCAACAAAGCAAATAAAAATAAACCGACCAAGAAGGCCGGCGATGTTCAGGAAGTACAAACCAACGGGCACGCAGGCCCAAAAAATACGAACGGGCACGCAGGCCCAAACAAATATCAATAAGGCACGCAGGCCCATCATCCTACAATCCAGTTTCCCCGGAACCATCATTGTCGACAACAGGAGAGTCGGGCGGGGGCACGATCGCGCCATCCACGATCTGAAACATGTAGCCCGTCCCTTCAGTGATCAAACCGGGATTCAGCAAGGAAAGCTGGCTGACCGCGGAGTCTAACCCCTCCTCCATAGCACCGACGCAATCTGCTTCGAGGAGCCGGATGTGGGCGACCAGCTCCGATCGACTCTTCAAAGCGGCTATATCCTCTGGCTCGTCCTCGGCAGGAAGCATGGCGACTTTCAGGTCCTCGATCTGCTGGGTTAGGCGCCCGATGTCGGTCTCCAGACGCTCCCGGTCTGCACGGAGAAGCTCTCTCTCCTCGGCTAGCTTCCCCGAGTTTTCCTTCTCCAGGGTCAGCATCTCTCTCTCGGCAGCCAGCAGCGATGCCTGCTCGCGGAACATCTCCTCGGAGCGTTCCAGGGCAGTCCTTAACTTTCGCGAACTCGAGGTGAAGGCCGCTTTCTCCTGTTCCAATTCTTCAATGCGGACAGGATCCTCCTCTTCCTCGGACAGCACAACGGCCATTTCGGCCATTTTCACCAGCCCGGCCATATTGGCAGCCAGGTGCCTCCTCCGGTCCTCCTTACTCATCCTCCTGATAACCTCAGCCTCATCGGCAGTCACGGACAAAGGGAACCCCTCGAAGAAACCCTCCTCTTTGAAGCAAGGGGGCAACCCGAAGGACCTTACGGCGCTGGAATCCTCGCCGACCGCCGGCCCACTTTCCACCCGGTTCCTTTTTCTCGGTATCAGGTCGACATGTGGCTCGACCTCCTGGACCTCTGGGGTCTCTTTCGAAGCAGCCCCCGAGCTAGGCGACGAATCCACCCTCACCACATGAGGAGCGCCCGGACTATGCGGCGGGCCCATCCTCGTTGCTTGGGGAGCCTTCACCACCCTCTTGCCCCGCTTCTGGTCGCAAGACAGCTTCAAGAGTCTCTCCCGTCGCCCAGCCATCGAACCTGCACAAAATAAAAAAAACCGGGTTAGTGTCGAGCAAACAAGCGGACGAATGACAAGCAAAGAAATTCAAGCAACAAACGACCTAGCAGACGAGCAGCCTGCCCGAATGACTGGCACTCCACGAGTGCCTTAGTATCGATTGGTCGGGCCTCGAATGTCAGATAACCCTCCTCGTCCAGGACATCTTCCCCCTCCCTCGTAGCCCACCTGGCGGGGTGGAAGCTATCAACGTACCGACAAAGAGTGTCATAAGCTTTTTCATCCTCGGAACCCATGTCGCCCGCAGAAGTATGATAATACCCAGTTATGTGCTCGTAATGCCTAAAAATCCAATGCACGGGGAACTTGGTCGTGCGTCCCAACACTGGATACCCGTCGTTGTCTAAAAGTGCCTCCCCGTCATCGTCGCTTATCGGCGCTTCCTCCTCGTACAAGGACTCTAAAGCGGCTGTGGTGACCGGCCTCACGACATACCACTTGTCTTTAAAACCCCGCACGGAGTCCATGTACATCTTGAATAGTCTCTTCGACTGTTTCAGGGAGACCCAGCTGTGCTTTCCTCCCCGGGACTGGCGCTGCAGATGGAAGATTCTGGAGAAGAGAGGTATAGTCGCCCCGATCCTCAGAAAACGACAGGTCAGCTCAAACGCCCGGATAAATGCGAGCGAGTTCGGGTGTAGCTGCGACGGGGCCAGCCCCAAATGGGCGAAGACCCCCGCCTGAAAGTCGCTGAAGGACAGCTGCAACCCAAGGTCTTTGAATGCAATTTCGTACATGGGCAAACTGTACTCAGGGTACACCGAGCAAATCTGAGCGGTGGAGGTCGGTCGCGTAACGACGAAATTCTTTTGAAAATCAGGCTGGCCGTGGCTCGCCTCAAGGACAGCGTATGGCTTTCGGCTACGCCGACTATAGACCGAGGTGATTCCTCTAGGCTCGGCGCCCACCCAGTCCAACAGAGGGTCTTCTACGGTGTCGATCAAACTCACAGCCTCATCGGCACTTTGTTCCTCCCTTTCGGGGCGTCCAGAAGAGCACGGCTGGTCCGCCATGGTTACCTACAGAGCACGGGAAACCAGTCAATTGGGCACGAAACCATACGCTCGTCGTAACGGACAAGATGGAGTGCGCGACAAACCACGTCGCTCTACGCACGACCACAGTTGGTTTGAAACAAAAATAGCAGTCGCCTCCCCGACTTCCAGATACCTCGACGGGCCCTTCTGCAAGCCGCCTAAACAAACCGACAACGCGATCACTCATGAATACGCCGACCCGAGGTATGAACATGGCGAGCAACATCATAAAGCCTAAAGCCAGAGCCATGAGCATACCGGGCACGATCGTGAATTAGGCGCCCTGGATCATGAAGACCCCGGGCAGAACTGCAGATTATAACCTAAACCATGCATCTATCGTCCACGAGCATGTGTTTGCCGACCCTAAGCATGAATTTGTCGGGCTAAACATGAATTTACCGGGCTAGTCCCACGCGCACAGCCTCTAAAACGTCTAAAAACGATGAAAATCATGCATCACAACAGAAAAACAGAGAAGATAAGTCACTTACTTGGAATCAAGGAGTAGATTCGGCAACGGAGGTAAGGAATTGGTGACGGAGATCGCGGCGATGCTATGAGAATCTGGAAAAACAACAGCAGCAGAAGCGCGAAGAGTAGTAACGCGTTATGTGGCCCAAGGATCCTATTTATAGTGATGACGTGGAATACCAAACGTCACCCCGGGCAACCACAGAGTTTCTCTCCTCGACGCACGGCTCCCCTAGGTAATAATGACTCTATCCTCATAGGGTGGCGGCACAGTTCCCAAAAGATACCTCGCGTGCTCGACAGACGCGCGCTGTTGAGGAATCCCCGAGCATTCCCCGAGAAGGACTTGTCTCCGAGCACGATACGGGGAAGCCCTCGAGGAGCTGCGTCTCTGACCCGAGCACGAGGCCCCGAAACGGAAGCAACCTAAGATCAAGCCATGGCTCCTAACCCAAGGAACCACGACTTGGGGGCTCCTGTTCTGGACTGGACCCGACTGGCCCAATAAGCATTGATAAGGCCCAATCCAAACGGACTTGCTGGGGGCCACGCCGACCAAAGGGTCACAGTCGTGCCGGACGTGCTCCCTGGGGCTACTTGCTCGACCGCCTACTGTCCAGCTCGACCTCACCCCGAGCACCCCTCTTAGGGCAGACTCAGTCCACTACACTCTCACGGGACTCCGAAAAGACCGCGTCTCTGTCCGCCCGCACTTCACGCAGAACATCCAGGGAGGGGACCACGTGCGGGTCCCCACTACGCACGTAGAACCTGGCAGTTCCTCCATTGGGCCAAACCTGCCCGGCCCAATGAAGGAACCTTGGCCCAGCGCTGGGGGCTATAAATACCATCTGTTTCCAGAGGGTCAGGTATTCATCATTCTACCCATACTTACTATTTCCTGCTCGTGCTCTTACTTACTTCAGCATCGGAGTGTCTTGCAGGTACCCCCCACCTCGTTCAAACTTTCAGTTCGGAACCAGCCGTGACGATCCAAGTCTGATCAGGTTAGATCACATAGTATTAAATTAGCCATCATTCTTAACTCACTTACTAGATTTCCTCTCATGTAGGAGGGAGTGAACAGATATACATCAAATAGAAATTGATATCTTCTTAAAAAAATACTCACATCCATGTAGCCTTGGCGTGTGAAACATTTGGTTATATATTAGGCTATCTATAATTAGTATTATCTCAACCAGATGAACCATATCAAGCTGCATGAAAATCATATGCAACAAAAAGGAACCCAATCCAAATCTATAATTAATATTACTCCAAATTTTAAGTAATGTATATTTACAGTTGTGGTCATCCTAAAGCAACTGAAAGCTTCAAAGTATAATGAACATTTATCTGCTTTCTTCCCTATAGTTACGTTCAACAGCTTCATGGTCAAGTGGCTGAATCCTTATAATGATTTCCGGCACAGGCAGCACAATTGGTTGCACCTGCGACTCACCAACCTTTCTACATGTTTCAACAAGACATTGTCTGCACTTGGGACATGATGAATGTTCCTTTAGCCATTTGTCAATGCAACGAACATGAAAACCATGGTTGCATTTAGGCAAAATCCGTACCTTTTCTCCCTTGGCAAACTCTGAGAGACATATGACACACTCTGTGTCCAAACCAGGTAATTTCAACTCGCTTGAATAGTTTAATGTGGGGAATTTTTTAAGAGCTTTCTTCTTGATTCCTTTATTAGCCAATTGTTGTGAAGCTTGGTTGTTGTTGATGGCTACATTAGAAAACCTCAGAGCACACCTTATAATGGAGTTTAAAGCAAGTGAGCAAATAAGAGCACACAATAACACTGCAAGTATCATGACAACATTAGAATCAAATTCACGAACTCCGAAATATGAATCTGTTGAATTGTGGTTGTTTAGTGGTTGATTATCAATTGGGCTTTGGAAGAGTAACCTTCTTGTGTGGGATTGCACAAGAAACTCATACTGTGAACTAAAGGAAGTAGAAGCATACATGTTTTATGAATGGAACTTGTTAATTAGAGGTTGATGATTGTTGTTATATTATAGTACTAGATAAAGGACTATATATAGGGAAGTTATATACCATAGTAGGATATGGTATCTGGCTTTCACTTTAGTATTATTATAAATTTGTTAGCAAGTTGGTTAAATTTGAATATATAACATAATTGGATCCTTAACAAATCCTTTTTCTCGTATTAAATATTTGTTTAATTACAATCTTCATGCAAGTGGTTAGATTGCAGTATGTTTGAGGAAATAGTAGCTCCTAATCAAATTGACAAAATGTTTAAACTAAAATATTTCATCTGCAATCTAATCTAATAATACTATCTTTTTACACGTACTTTAATGCAGAAAGTGCTTGTTGAGTGGGATTTTTTATTTGCTTTTTGTTTGTATTGATTTGTTTAGTTTATCGGCAATATTTGATTGTAACATATTTGGATGTAGTAGCGCACACAGTAAGTTAGTAACCGCGGAAAACAAGAATTATATAGTCTTGGTTTGTCTATTTTCAAAAGTGTTGCTTTTGCTTTTGGATAAGGCAGTAATAGAAACAAGTACCACTTACTTGGATATCCGAATCTTTATTTGTTGGATATCACTAATATTATTGTTTCTTTCACTTGCAACTTGTGAGGGATAAAAAAGAAAGAGGAAGGTGGAGTTAGACAGCAGTTAGTTGAACAGCTAGATGTATACTACTCAAATTATGCATAACAACATGTCAATCATATCAGACTAGCTAGTTACCAGCATGGTTGGGATGAGGTAAGTGGCTTGGACACATTAGGCAAGTAGTTAGAGTTTCATTAGTCACATTAGGCAAGTAGTTAGAGTTTCAATAATTGACTAGTGTAAGAGCAAAAGTTGGATGAGAGCATACGGCTCTTGTATATATATTAGTGTTGAGTTATTTTAATGAGGAAAGAATGAGAGAGTGAAAAATAAAGATTATTATTATTATTGAAAAATTATTAAAATTGAATATATATATATATATATATATATATATATATATATATATATATATATATATATATATATATATATATATATATATATATATATATATATATATATATATATATATATATATATATATATATATATATATATATATATATATATATATATATATATATATATATATATATATATATATATATATATATATATATATATAAAAGAATAAGAAGTGATTCTATATCTGGCCTAAAGATTTTGATGATAACTTTATATGGTAACATAGAGAATAATTGTATATTCTAATGGTTTCGTTCTAGTGTGTAGCTGCTGTTGTAATGTTCTAATTCTGGTATCAAGGTGAGTGACATCATCAGGTTCTGAACATAAACACTACTGGAAAAAAATATTTGATTATGTGTTACAGTTGAAGTCAAGATTCTGGAATTCATCTTATGCAACAATTCTTAGGAACGTTAGTACAAGAGGTTGTGATCGTGACTTTGTGGTTAAACTTTGAAGGCCTTCTAAAGCTTTGCTTCTGTGTGTTCCAAGTTCTGAAGGTTATGAAGAGGGAGTTATGTTGAATAAGTTATGATGATCTGAAGAAAAACAAGTTCTTACGATCAAGTGCGGAAGACTCTGAAGACAAGGTTCTGATGGGACAAGTTCTGAAGACTCCAAGAATTGGTTCTAAGACTTAAGAGTGTTTCTTCTACAACAAACTTCAAACATTCAAATTATCTAAAGCCTCTGAAGATTAGAAGAAGTTCAAAATGGCTAATGCGTGATGGTGTACAAAAGGTACAAAAAGTGTTATGTGACCTCTATCCTCTAGGGTGGTGTAAGGAGAGTCCTTTCGTACTGTATTGTCAACCACTCTTATTGTGTTCGTTGGGAACAAATAGTTGTTTCCCATATTATCTTTCTACCCTTAACTGATCTATGTTTACAAGCTAAATAGAAAAACATCTATTAAAGATAAGGTTAATGTTAAATAGTCCAAACTCTTACACCTTATTCTACCGTTAGGAACTAACCGTTGATGCGGAAAAGAATTTTTTAATCCTCACAACGTCTCTCTCTCTCTCTCTCAAGGATATAAAAGAAGATCAAAGATTTGAAGAAAAGAGCTTTTGGCCTTCAAGATGTAAAGACGTGGATGTTGAAGCTGTCAAAGCTGCAATACTAAACATGCTGAAGACAACTACACATAAATGATAGAAAAAGAAAGAAAGATAAAGAAGAACAAATCTACAAGATGCTACACAAACTAGCATCATATACATCTTGGAAGATCTCAGAAGAAGTAAGGAGTTTTTGCTAGGATCATATTCAAGTTTTCACTAACTCCATGTCAACTTTTCACCCAATTGCAAGCCTCATTTCTCATTCTCATCAACTACAATGTTTCTTCTCATCATGAGAGCTTTCCAAAGGCTCCATCTTCACAAGAAACACACGATGGAAAGTTAAGATACAATGAATTTGTCATGGCTGGTCCAAAAAATGCATAGCATGACAGGCAAGAATTTATGTACATTAGAGAAGTTTTGTTGCATGATGTTTATCATTTACCTCATGCACATTACACACATCATTATCTCATCATTATTATTTCTAAATTAAGTAAGCAATGCACATAAAGCATGTTCACGAATTTCACAAATGCTTGCCAAATAAGAAACTTTTCTCCCATCCCATGTGCAGCATGCCATCTCACCCTTCTCACACTCGTTTCCTCTCTCTTTTCACTCATCAAAATGTAAGCATTGTATCACCAATTGAACACAAAACGCAAAACCTCGCTGCTTCACTCAAATCTGCCAATTTTCCCTTTCTACCCTCAAGGAAACTTCTTCAATACTTTTCCTCACTCTATTCACTTTTTATAAGCAAGTCATTCCCTTCATTCACAACACACGCATTCCATTCACTATTGAAATCAGATCAAAAATCTTTCTTTATTCATGAATTTTTGAGCTCCCTCTCTCTCTCTCTCTCCTCTCTCTCTCTCTCTCTCTCTCTCTCTCTCTCTCTCTCTCTCTCCTCTCTCTCCCTCTCTCTCTCTCTCTCTCCTCTCTCTCTCTCTCTCTCTCTCCTCTCTCTCTCTCTCTCTCTCTCTCTCTCTCTCTCAATTCACTCAAGTTTCCTTCAAATCCAAGCTTGCACAATCATTTTGGAGCTGAAGAAGAGAAGATTATTGGGTTTCTATTGAGAAAAAACTAGAGGAACTTGTGAATTTATTTTTCACACTTGAGCTAAGTTCCTTTGAATTTTAATCCCTGATTTCAGTTTGCATCTTCATCATAGAGCTTGTTCATAATGGTTTAGGTGGCCAGATCTTAGATCTGATGTATAATTATGTGAGATTTGTTGCTTCATTTGTGCTCTGCAATTTTTGTGTGAAAGTTGAAAATTGCAGTGATTTCATGCTCACATTTTTACTTGATCTTGCATCATTTGAAAAAAATCATAAGCATCATCGTGTTCCTTGGAATTTTGTGAATAATTTTGGTGTTTGGATCTATCTATTTGGTTGAGAATCGAGTAAGATATGTGGATTTGAAAACTGTTTGATATAATGCTTAACTTGAAATCAGGTTCATGCAGCAACTTTAGTACCCAAATTTATCTATGATTCATGCATCATTTCAGGAAATTCTTGATCCTATTTCGTTCTACGCATTTTAATCTTGAACTTTGATGATTATATTTTGAATTTTCATGGAGAAATGAGTGAGATATGAATTGGAGAACATTGCATGGTGAACCTCGGTTTTTCGTTAGGGTTTAGTGTGTGGTAGGGACAATTATGTGTCCCCACCCTACTATCATGATTGAACATGTTCTAAATCTTTTCGCAACACTTTTTGCTTAAAACAAATGCAGTAGATCGTTTTCATTTTTGAATTTTAGTTTATTTTAATTGTTTTCCTCAATTTATTTTAATATTTTCTTTAATTAAAAATTTATCTGAAAAATATTATAGACTTTATTTTTAGTCTAATTTCAGATTTTAAATTTTATTTCATGATTTTTCATTTTTATATGATTAAATAATTCAATTAGTTTAACTAGGGTTTTAATCATCTTTTAGGTTTAAAAATTTTATTTTCTAATTTTCACTAACCTAAAAAATCCACAAAAAATATCCGAAGTTTCCTTTTGAGTCTAATTCATGAAAATAATTTTTGCCCACACTGATTAAATCAATTCGTTGGTTGGGTTGTTCTTTTTTCCAATTTTTGTTGCATTGTGCAAATTTTTTAATTTTAATTTTTCTTACATAATAAAATTCATAAATATATTTTTGGTGTTCTTTAGACATTGATATAATTGCTCATGATTTTTAATTAAATTTGTAGTTCAGTTTGCTTATTTTTCAAAATTGTGCTAGTTAATTGTTGTTTTTGGTCTTATTTCTTGCTTAAGCCCAAAAAACATTTAATTCTCCAATTTTCCTTACTTCTAAAAATTAAAAACAAAAATTATTTTGAGATTCTTGGATGACTTGAGATTATAAAAAATCCTTTTTGTTGAATTTTAAATTTAATCTTAAATTTTTCACAAATAATTTTGTTAAACTTCTCTAGTTTGAGACCTTTGCCAACTAGTCTTGACAATTATTAATTTTTTTCACCCTTTCAAGTTAATACAAGAACTTCAAATGATTTTTCTGACCTTTACAAGTCTTTAGGAAGTTAGGATTTAACTTTCATGAATTTACAAGTTCTTTTCCTATTTTTAACCTAATTTTGACTTAGGAGTATGCTTAGGGTTTTTCCTTGATCAAAAAAGTTTATATTTGAGAACTTGTGTGCATGGTTTTAATATAACTTTTGGAATTGCATATTCTACTGACTTGGTTCTATTATTTTCCATTTCTCCCATTTTTATCATACTTCTAACATCCATTTCTCCTATCAAACATTGAATGCCTCTTATGACCCTTTTGTTTGTGATTTGTGCATGATTTCACTTGTATTGTGTGTGATGCTTGAGAATGTTTCATTTAAAGG